GAGTTCACTCAGAGTAATGCTCTCCAGTTCCTCCCAAGTTAGGTAATTATCTATAAAATCATTGTTCCTGAATGTTGCATAGTATTCCATTGTGTGAATGTACCATGATTTCTTAATCCATTTATTTGTGGTTGGTTATCTGAGCTGTTTCTTTGTTCTTGTGATGGTGAATATTGCTGCTATAAACATTAGTGTACAAATCTCTGTTTGAACCTCAGTTCTCATTTCCTCAGGGTATATCCCAAGCAGCAGGTCTTATGGAATTAATATGTTCAGCTTTCTGAGGAAGCAACGAACTGCTTTTCATAATCGTTGTACCATTTTGCAATCCCACCAACAATGTATGAGTTCTTATCTCCCCACATCCTCTCCAACATTTATAACTTGCTGCCCTGTTAAACTTTGCCACTGTTACTGGAGTGAGATGGTACCTCATTGTGGTTTTGATTTGCATCTCTCTTATTGCCAGGGATTTGGAGCATTTCCTCATGTGTCTGTTTACCATTCACATATCTTCCTCTGTGAAAATTCTTTTCCATGTCTTTTGCCCAATTTATAATCAGGTTCTTAATCTTTTTCTTGCTTCCAATTTCTTTTAATGTTTCCCGAATCATTCAATTTTCTGCCCATGGCATTCTTAAGCATTGCAACTTACAGCTTGAATTTGTTCTTTAGTTCTTCCACCTTAAGCACTGCTGAACTAGTCCAGCCCTTTTGATTTTCCAACTCCAGCTCCTTGCACATTCCATTATAATACTTTGCATTTTCTTCCCGAGCTCCCTTAATCTTGAGGATAATTTGAACCCCAGAACATTTCATTGTGCTTAAGCAAAACCTATACTCAGACCAGGAAGCAGTCCCCAGAACAGAGCTAGGAAATACTGCATGATTCAAAGTCTGGAAAGGAGTGAGTCAGGAGTATGTCCTGTCTCTGTACCTTTTCAATCTATAGGCAGAACAGGTCACTCAGGACGCTGGGGAGGAGGAATGTGGCATCAAGATTGGAGGAAGACTTATCAAGAACCTACATTATGTATATGACACAACCTTGATTGCTGGAACTAAGAAAGACATGAAGAGTTTGGTGCAGAAGGTCAAGGACTGTAGTCTTCAATATGGATTCAAGCTCAACCTTAAGAAGACAAAGAATGTCACCACTGGGCTAACCGTGATGAATGGAAAAGAGATTGATTACAGCTTGTTGGCTCCACAATCAACACTCTTGTCACCAACAGTCAGGAAATAAAAATAAAAAAAAATGAACTGCCTTGGGAAAATCTGCTATTAGGAACCTCTCCAGAGTGCTGAAAAACAATGACATCAGTCTAGACACTAAGTTACACCTAATTCAGAC